GGCAATTCACTTAGTTCTGTGTAAAGCTCAGTGATTCGGCTTAAAGGGCTGATGGCAGTGGGTTTGAATTGGAACAACAGAGCAAGAGCTGGAGCAAAGCCACCTTCTGCTGATTCCCAGGGGGTAAGAACCATTAGCACAGGCAAAACTTGCATGCAGTAACTTCTTACATTGCTACAGCAAGATCCACCATAGCTCTGTCAAAACCCTGTGTAAGGGTCCAAATCCAACACACAGAACCACTGAAATCCCTCCCTGCTCAGGTGCTCATTAAGATTTTGTTGTATCCAAATCCCATTTGGATACTTAATGCTGCTCAAAATCCTAACTACTCTCCTTAACTGCTGACTACTCAGAGTTGACTTCATGACTTGGAGTCTCAGCAGAGTTCTTAAACTTTTTTTGTTGGTTTTTGGTTTTTTTGGTTTTTTGTCTAATATATAAGGGAGTGCCTGGCTAGCATACATACACAAAAGAGAGCTGAAGATTTACACACAAATGTGTTTCCCAGCAGTGAGCACACTCTCCTGTGATGTGGGAAGCAGTATTAATTGAAGTGAGATCTTGCAGCCTGACTCTACCACATCCCAGGGAAATGCCCTAGCCCTTGGGCATTGAGTTAATCTCTCATTAGCCATCCCTCTGGTCTCTTGAATAAATTATTTATGAAAAGCAGAAAAACTTCAATAGGAAAAAGTGAAAAGAGATTTACCATGGAGTTCCTGGTAAAGAAGCCAATTCTTCAGGAGGTGATGTATGTTTTAAAAAAAGCCAATTTAGATAACAAATCAATTTGCACTTTGGGGGCAAGTACACATTAAAGCTAGACAGATGCTATCCTCTATGTGAGAAAAATTAATTTTCTTCTCTCACTACCAAGCAGAACCAAAATATATAGGAACACAAGGTTCCTACTGACAAATCGAAGAGAGTATTACTCAAGATACATGAGGTCCCTTGTCCATCTCTCAACCCCAGGCCACCTCACTTCAAAACTGGTTGATTTGACTAAGGGCCCCACCTGGAGCAGGGCTCACAGCTGAAAATCCCAAATAGAAGCTGAGGTCCCTTTTGAAGTTCTGTCAGACACCCATCTTGAAGAATATAATCTTAATTTGTACTTTACCCCTCCATATAGACCCTCACCGAAATCTGACTGCATTTTGCTCAATTCCACAATTCCTTGGCTGCACTTCCATTTCTACCCCTACACTACACAAAGACAGAACTAATCATTTAAATGAGTGAGTGGTGCAGTGATTTGTCCAGCAAGCCAGGCTATTCTCCTTAGCTTGGATGCCCAACACCAAGCTGCAGGGTGCCTAAATCTTCAAGGTTCAAAACCTGTAAGTCTTTCAGAGAGGTATACACCTACTTTTATGCTCTATAGGAAAAATTCAGAGCTCATTGCTTTCATTTAAAATACAGATGGGCAGAAGGAGAGGATGATGAAACACTTCATATGAAAAGCACTCACGGGAAGAACAGAATCCACCATGGGCAAAAACTGCTGTATGGTTTTCCACTATTCCTTCTTCAGGAACTGCCATGATTTCTTACAATCCTCATTTCAGTGAAACAGACAGAAAAGGACATTTCTCTCACAGACTTTTGGAAGAGTATTCCTATGTGTAACCAAACACAGTGTAAAGGATGACTCAACCTCTTACAACACAGGGGAACTTGGGACTCAAGCACAAACCTAAAGGACAGTGTTGTGGTTTTTTTCTAACATGACAGTAATTGCCTGACTGGATTCTATGTAAACACAACTCTGTTCTCCTGTTTGTCCACAGCTCCCAGTCTGAGCATCTGTATGTCCAAGGAAAGTACTCAGCTGGCCAAAACATTAATGCAGTCCTTGGGCCTGCAACTGTAAATGTGTAAAATGCCTCTGAGAGCAGGTAGACAATGATCTGACTCTGCGGCTCCACTCTTCACCAGGTGTGAGCACAGCCTCCTTCAGATGTGTAACCTGTGTGAGTTTACAAAAGTATTTCCAGAATCACAGAATATTCCGAGTTGGAAAAGACTCACGAGGATCATTGATCCAATTCTTGAGGGAATGGCCCATACAGGGACTGAGCCTGTGACCTTGGCACCATGCTCTGACCAACTGAGCTAATTTACTCAGCATTTTGTTTAGATTTCAGCCCCCAAAAGAATCCTCTTCTAAAATCTGTCTTACAGATTTTGAGTAGTTTGTAAAGCTGCTAGAACAACAGTGGTTTACAACTCAGTGGGGTGCAGGTTGAATGGATAAAATCAGACTAGCAGGGTATATATACTGCATTATAAATCACCTATCAAAACTTATCTTTAAAATAATAAAATTTATGTTTATGTTAAAGACCTTGCTATATTAGATATAGAAGCAGGACTCATATTATCTCCACACAAGTAGCACAATTTTGATATGAAATATCTAGAAATCAATGCTGTGACTTAAGCATTCATGACTGCTTAGAAATAATCTTAAAATCCTACATAGGATGTAAAAATTCTTTCAATTTCCTATTTGTATGGAAAAGCAGTAGTTGTGAAAGAAAACAAATTAATAAAAAAACCTCTCACTCTCTATATGTCCCTGGACAGAAGATTTATGTTAAATATCAATGCCTATTTTAGGAATATACCTCTTTGAAAATAGATTTCAAATTCTCAGTCTTCAAGGCCCCAATCATCCTTCATTAATATTACCTGAACACCAAAAAATGCATCAATGAATCTTCTTCAGACTACAATGAATTATAGAGGATGTGTCATAGCTTCATAAAATGTGCCTATAGGACCACCCCAAGCCTTCCAATTACATTACAATTCCACATATTGTACAATTTAAGTATCCAAACTAGTTTCAGCTTTCACAGTGCAACAAATCCATTATTCAAGTTTTCTCCATTAGATTATTCTGTTACCCAGAAAGACTTTTTTATTAGATTTGGGTCAAATTCAGCAAGCAAGTGCAGGGAATTTGTGGATGGGAAAAATTAATGTTACTTAGAAACAATTAGAAACTGGGAAGAAGAAAAGTTTCTTTTCTTCTTCCAGCTAGTGAATTAAAATAGTTGGACGAGGGAAGACCTATTCAGTATAAAAGCATTAAGATCAAGGGCTAGATTTTGGAAACAACTGTCAGTTTTAGAGGAGTGGTAGAATTTTCAAAATTCTTAAGCAGAACAGGCACCTAACTCCCTTGGATTTTAGACACTTGACTGTTTAATGGGGTTTTCAGCAGACCTAAATGCTTTTGAAACAATTAGACAAATGAGTGAAAATATTTAGTATTTCCTCTGGTTAGTAAGTCAGTTTTTAAATGCAAAATGGGTTTCAATAAACCTAGGGCCTGTTTCTCAGGTCAGGTACAGACAGTTGTGCTCACACTGAGCTCATGCTCTCAGTGGGCTGGACCCAAGCCAGCCCTTGCACAGATGCCATAGAAACTACATTTTCAAGTTCTTTTTAAGACAGTGCTGCAGCCAAGAGAAACAATCTCTCACCAGGCCCCAAACACTCATCCCTAACTACCACATTACCACCTCCCCTCTGCCAGCATAACAAACTGAATCACTGATCTTGTCTCGCTTCAAACTGACTTCTTTTTTTGGCTAGATTAGGTTTTACCCTGGTCCAGCTCACTCAGTTGCTGCACAGACACTTGTGCAAGGAGAGGAAGTAGCAAGAAGGGCAAGTATACTTCATTCAGTGGCAATGCTGATCTCTGTCAATTCACAGCACATGACCAAACATATCCTTATTTCTTCTTTACAACACTCATCACATCTAAGGCACATCTATCCAATTAAATGTAATTTTACAATACTGTTTCAAACATCTTAATTAAATCCCGTTTTTCATGTAAATAGAGCATGACTCAGAAGTGAGAATTAAATAAAGTAGTAAGACCCATCACTTGTAAGCTAAGCCAGCAAAAATTCAGAATGTGAAAGAATGTTTTTCAGGTTTACCTCTGATACCTAAAAAAGATATAACTCAGTATAAAGCTCTCAGCTCCTCATAAATCAAAATGGTTTATTTATCCCAACCAATGAGAGCTTTCTTTAGGAAAATCATGTATAAAATGTATTTTTAATAATGCTAAAAATCAGCTCATTTACTTTGATGAAACCTATTTGAACTCTTGCTTTTCATTTTCTGTAGTATATCTCACAGTTGGACTCAGTACATTCCCATTCTGCCTTTCAACTGTGTTGGAAACCATGCTGGGTGTGTTTAGAAGCAAAGCAAAGAAGGAATGAGAGATGTGTTTTCCACCACCCATTTCTAGGGCTGTCCAAACTCTCAGTTTTCCCTTCCACCACTGCCTGGGTAAAAGCTCTCCCTGGACCAGCCAGGCCCAAGGGAAGCATCCAAGGACCACGCAAGGCTTTGCACTGGGAGAAGCGACTTTCCTTTCACAGCTCGCATTCCTGCCGCTGTTGAAGCACCAGCTCGCTCTCAGTGATCCTGTGAAAGGTGACTCATGTTGATACAGACATGATAAGAGACAGGATTTCCTTCCCCACTTCCCACCTGCGGGCGTTGAGGCTGTTCACAGGATCACAAAACAGAGTGGAAAGGGACCTCTGGAGATCACCCAGTCCAAACCCCCTCTCATGGCAGGGTCACCTGGAGCAGGTAACACAGGAATTGGAATCTCTCCAGAGGTGACCTCAAACAGCAGCACGGGGTGAAAGTGACGGTGAAAGTGACAGTGAAAGTGACAGTGACAGCCCCAGCCCGGCGCGGGCGGCAGGCACAGGGAACACCCATGGGCACGCAGGAACCGGTGGCTCCCCAAGGCAGTGACCCCACGGTCTGTCGGGCCACCTGCGCTGCTCTCCTCGAACCCCACCTCAGGGCGGGCCGAGGGAGCGCCGGGGACAGCGCGGCCGCCGCGGCGGTGCCGTGAGGCGCTGCTCCAAAATGGCGCAGGCGGGCTCCGGCGGGCCGCGCAGGGACGGGGCACGGCGGGCGGGCGGGCCGGCGGCGCCACTCACCTGCCGGTAAGAGAGGCGGAAAGGCCGCAGGTAGAGGGAGGAGGTGCAGGGCTGGACCGCCAGCTCCTCGATGGCCTCCATCCCTGCCGCGGGGGCAGCGGCCGCGGCGGCAGGAGGAGGAGGAGGAGGAGGAAGGGGAGAGGCGCGCGCAGCCGCCGGCGGACGGGCCGGGAGCGGCAGCGGAGCTGACGGACGCGGCTGCGGCGCTGCCCGGCCTCTGCCCTCAGAGCGAGCCGGAATCACGGGATGCTGAGTTTCACACCCCCAAAACGGGACACGGGAGCCTCGCCGCCTTCATTCACAGAAGCAGCAAGGTTGGAAGACATCTTTAAGATCATCCGGTTCAAGCGTCCGCCTGGCACTGCCCCTGTAACCCTCGCTAAACCACAGTGCCAGACACCTCTGAACTCCACCATCTCCTTGGGCAGCCCGTTGCAATGCCTGACCATTATAACAGGGAAAATATGTTTCTACTGTCTATTGTGAATCTGCCCTCTCTTAGTTTAAGGCCATTTATTCTTTTCCTCTCACTGCAGGCACGGAAGAAGAGACCGGCCCCCACCCGGCTCACTACAGCCCCCGGTCACGGAGTAGAATTATTCTCCAGAAACACCTATTCACGATCCTGTTTGCTCAGGAGATTGGCAGATGTTCACAGAGGGTCAGTTATTCCCACACTTTACACCAAAATCTATGGGGAATGCCGGCACTGAACAGAAACCCGACCCTCTCCTCCAAAGCCTTGATGCGATCTACGTGCTCCCAGGTTATCCCACTGCTGGGCATCAGCAGGCTTTGCAGGATGAGCACCTTGCTGTGCAAAGCACAGTCCCTTCTGCCTGCCTGCATGCGTGGTGCTTTCCTGCTAGATGGAGGTTGTGTGAGTGCTGTGGAAAATGCAGGTACAAATACAGATTCGTGGATAACCTGCAATCCATCGCTCCATGCATCTCCAACTTTTCTTTTCAGGGTCAGCTTCTAGTACCAGCCCGTGGCAGAAGAATAAAAACAACTCGGTTAGACTCCCCTGGCTGTTTTCAAGTTATAAAATAGCAATTCCCTCTCCTTTTATTCATTACTTTTTAGGAAGAACACGATTAGATTTAGCGATTTCCTGGTTTTCACAGAAGTTTGATCACAGTTATGCAACATTAGGTTACATTACTCTGGGTGCTTTAATACTGCTAATAATTATTGTCTAGTTTCATGAGCAACAGAGCTCACAATTTGTGGTGGTTGTTATCTCTCTGATTTGTGATCACTTTCCATGCAGATGTGCCTCTGTACAGCAATTTAGGTGCTATATAAATCAAAATATTTTGTCAACGTACTGGCTGCACTGAGAAAAATCTGAAGTTTCTTGTATCTTCTTCTTTTTTTGTCTTCCTCTGTATTTCCACTGCATTACTAAGAAAGTTTATTGTCTTCTTACATGGTAGTAAGAATTTCAGCAGTCTAGCTAAAAGGAACAGATCCAGCAATTACAAAACTCACTAAGAAGTAAATGAGGCAGCACTTACATTGCAGAATGCTTACCATCAGTTCTGATAACGCAAGTGGCAAAAAAAATGCTTGGTGGGGCTGAAAAGTGTGGTTTTAAAAGTATGTTTGCAAAGCTATCATAAAAAATAGGCAAGGAAATGTATTTTATTAGCTGACTTCGAAAATATTTGTGTAACTCTGTTTGCATCACTGTATATGTCTACATATTTCTGTTTTTTTCAGAATGATCTCAAGGTCATTCAGAGCTCCTGGGAACTTCAGCTATATTTTTCTAGTAAGTTATTTCAGTCTTCCAAGTCCAATTTAAGTATAAACACAGTTTCCATGCACAGCAGGTTTACAGTATCTCTGTTTGCTTATGTTAAAAGTTACCGACTACCCAGGTCGGTTCAGCCAGTCAGATTGCCCTCTTCAATAAACATTCTGACACCACTTTCAGGTTTTGAGTGTGTGTGTGTTTTGGGGAACGTGTCACACTGTGTGATGGATTGCTTATTCCATTCCTAGGCTTAGGTGGGAAGCTTTTGGGGTTGTGATGTGTCACAGACCTGATCTCATTAATGTACCTGGAACAGTTGAGCACAGTGTCACAGGAAAATGCATTTTGGGATGCTCTGATGTTGCAGTTGCAATGGAAAGCTGATGATTCCTTTGTTGGAAATCTTCTTTGTCAGCATGCCAGCTGAATTGAGGATTTAACAGGCTGAGATTGAGGAGTTGCCTTAATGTTCCTGTTTTACAGGTGAAATCTGAGCAAGAAAATAAATAGGAAAAATATGTTCTGCAGAATGGGACTGCCATTCAGCACCTGGACCTGAATTCCATTACAGTTCTTTATTAAGGCTTAGGCACCCTCTGCAGCAAGTGCCTTTGCATTTGCTAGTCCAGGAGCAATCCCAAGAAGGAAATTTCTCTCAGCTACCATTTATTCAAAGGGACAATAACAAAGGGGAACAACTTTTGTATGGGTGAGACACACTCCTGCTTTCCTGCTCCCTTTCACTGCCTTTCTGACTGGCACAGTGACACCAACCAGCCTGAAGGTGCACTGAGTTCAGAGCAAGGATTAGGAGATGATACAACACAGAGATGCTGCTCAGCCCCTCAGCTCAGGGCTCAGGAGAGCTCTGTTCCCACCTGGCTTCCAAAGGACGTGGTGAGTTTGCTCAGTACACTGGCCCAGCTGCTTTGTTGTGTGTTTCTTGACATCCCCGTGTGTTTGCTCCTTTTTAAAGCAGAGATACTAGCAGTGGTGTGTGTCCAGAAACTTGGGAAAACAGACATCCATAATTCCAAAGTGTTTAAGGACTGTGTTCATGCCTGTTACCTTCAACAAGATATTTCCAATACTTAAGTCCATGTTTAACTTTGGGTTTGATTAGCATTATTCCAGTATAATTTACATTTTTACAATCCTTTCCCTAGTTCATAAGTTCCCAAACTTCTTACACCCTGGATTACTCTTGGCTATCACAGTTTCTTTGCAGGGCACTATCCAGGTTTATCATTGCTCTTCTAATCAAAACAGCTACCTCTGATGTCCTTCCACTAGCCAAGTGCCTTATGCCATCACACCTTCCTTGCCAAGTTTGACTGTTAACTTGACTTCCAGAAATCTGAGGATGTGTCAGAATGACAGGTTATCTTTCACTACATTAAAGTGGCTTCTGGATTGCTTTCTTGTTATTAAGAAAAAAAAAACAAAAACAAGAAGACCCCACCAGATACTAGGTTGTGAATACTGTCATGGATAGTTTGCTCATGGGTTCTTCAGTCTCCTGGAGCTGCTGGTCTCCTGCTGTAAAATACTAAAATCTAGATGTTTGTCCCTAGGCTGTAATAGCTCTGAGAATGGTTTATGTATCAGTGTGATAAACAGCCCAATGAAGAAAAGCAGAAAGTGTGAATAAAAATTTGTGTCTTTCCTGGAATGGAGAGTATATCAGCAGGCAGAGAGGGGAAGAAAGAGAAGTGTTCTGTCTGGAGTAAAGAGTCTTGAGGAAAGATTCACTGGGATATCTTACAAAAAATGAAATGTCACCATTAGTGTTAAAAAGGAATTCTTTCTGCAGAGTAAAGTTCTTTGTTTAACAGACTTCTCTTTCCTTCAAAGCAGTGTTTGCTCTGGGTTACTTCATGAGTAACTTTTATTACCAGCAAAGTATCCAAACACTTTTTTTTTTTCGTTGCTCTTTTAAAAAATCCCCTTGAGCTTGGAGTTTCTGCCGACACAGTCCTTCCCTTCCCCTTACAGCCCCGCGGTCCTTGGGCATGCAGTCTGCAGAGGGTCAGGTTGCATCCTCATTAGCAGTTTGTTTTATTGCTGTTTGCTTTGGGACACAACCGGGAATGTTTCCGTCTGCTCGCCGTGGCCCCGGGAGCCAAGCACATCTCTCACCTCGGCCCAGGCTTACAGAGAGTGGACACCCAGGAATATCCCCTGCAGTACTTCCCTCTTCCCACTGGAGCTTAGCAAGGTGCCTGAGCTGTTGGGTTCACCCATGCAGAGTTAGGCAGCGCATTTTCCATGGTGATTTTTGTGTGTGTACGTGTCTGCGTGTACTTTTAATCTCCGTCAATCCCTGCCAGGCTCACTTTGTTCTTTGACATGCCATGGCTCATGAACAAAAAATCATCAGGTCCTGAGCCTTTCATCTCCAGAGGACTCCTTAATATATTGCAGAGTGCCATTACTTTTGTTATTTGTGAGTACAGTAGTTACTAAGATACTACAAGTACGAAAGCCTCAACAGTTAGAGGCATGTTGACTTGCAGTTCTCAAATCCCATTTTTATAAAATATTTCTAGCCCTCTTGGTTGCAGGGAAAATTGGGAAATGTAAATTATGGAAATGTAAATGATGGAAATGTAAATGATGGAAATGTAGATGATGGAAATGTAAATGATGGCAAACTTAAAGGTTTGTGAGCTGTTAAGTGGAGGTGATGCCACGTGTTTGGTAGAAGGGCTTTGCTGTTGGGGTGACAAATAACCTGGATCTTCAGCTCTGGGCAGAAGAATGCCAGCAGAGGCTGCTGAAGCCAAGAGGCACTGGATCCAGCTGTGTGCTCACATCAGCCCCATCCAGCTGGGATGCCATTAAAGCCATTGTCTTCTGTCTAGAAACTGCTCCCAGAACTTCTTCCTCTGCCTCAGCTCCCTGGGCCACATGCAGTTTTTGTTAAGCTCACATAGGAGCATTAGGAGAGTTGAACACCTTTGCTGTACAGGCTTAGTGAGAAGGATGGATGAAAGTGTCCCAAATGAAGTCTATTTTGTAAACTCCTGTTGGGAATCCTTATGGTTGACAGCATGAAATCGTATCCTCTTCATGTGGGCCATCCTCGCATCGCCACAGAGATGTTAGTTTTGAGTTCTTTTCTGGGGATCAGATGCATGTTCTTTCTGTAATGAAGTGGCTGTTGTGAAGTTTGCCTTCTAAAGCTTACCCCTTAGGCTCCCGGGGAAAAGCAAGCCTGAAGCTGCCAATATCTAACTTTTAATTATTATTCAGTTCTGGGGCATAACCACCCTGGTTACATTCATGAAAGTCAGGAATTGTGCTTATGCAATTTTTTTGGCATTGTAAATAGAGCCCTAGAGAAATTTGTTTTGATTTTCGTAGTAGCTTTCCTGAGATACAACTTTTTGTTTTGATAAATTATTTACATTTCAATTACAAAATATAAAATTAGAGGTCCACACTGCAGTACATAATATTGTCTTCCAACAATTTTATTCACCATCAATTGGTTCAGGGCTGCTTTAATCCATG